TCTTGCTGTATAAAAATTAATGAGATCTAGATGACACTAATCTGACTCTATATGAAGTTATTTGATGATATTTAGTACATAGTCAATTTACTGTAGAAAAAAGTTTTGAAAAAGAAGTGCTCTTTACTAAACACCAGGGCAGAAAGACTCATACAAATCATTGAACTTGTAGGGGGAAGGTCACCACCAGTCACAAGTTTCACCCTCACACTGACCACCAGCCCCCAGCATAAAATAGCTCTTCAGAATGACTTTATTTTAACCAATTTACTGTTATCATTTTATATTGTCTACATATATGATTCACTGATTGTTGTAATTTATTTAGGCTTCTCATTAATTTGTGTGATTTTCTTTATGAGTGCCTGCAGGGGGCAAGATACCCGCTGTGGTTACTCCAGAAAATTAGTCCTGTGCTGCAAGATATTGTGGTGGGTCCTGCAGGAGTGCAGACCTCTACTTTGTTAAAAAACAAATCTCCCATAAAAATATCAACACTAAGTGTTTTCATTTTGCAGTGAACTGAATATTTTCAGATGCTGATGCTAAATATGTGAAAAAGGAGCTACTTTTGCTTCTGTCCTCTCAGTTTATCTGGAAGTTTTTATGCTAATGGAAAAGCAAATGTAAGGTTTCAGGTTCACATTTAGCCTTTGTATTATATATTATATATCAGCATTGCAATTTAAACAATAGATTCTGTACTATATGTTCTGTATTACATTAATATTGTTATGGAAATATTAATCTCTTTATTACATATATCATATATCATATCAGCATAGTTATTGAGATATTAGCCTCTGTGGTACATATAATCATATAAGCATTGTTAATGAGATATTAACCTTTGTATTATATATTATAAGAACACTTTTAATGAGATATTAGCCATTATATTATAAATTACATATTAATTTATTAATTAATCACATAGCAATACTGATATGTAATCAATTAATAAATTAATATATAATTAATAAATGACATTAATTTATTAATTACATATCAGTATTGCTATCGAGATATTAGCCTTTGTTTTATATATTAAAAGGAAGTGTGTCCCGCTGAAGCCCTAACGCTGTGCATTGCTGCCACCTGCTGCCTGTAGAGTCTCACTGCATACAACTTTTTCACGCTAACACTTCTGCTGAGGATAAAATCTTTTTTCCTGTGTTCCACAATGAGACCATCAAATAGGCTGTGAAAACAGCACTTTTATTTACTATTTTAGCGACCACTGGAAGTGCTTCATGTGACCTTTTTATGATTTTATATGCAGGGTTATTTTGGAGAAAAAATTATATAATTTGAATATTTATAACTTTATAAGGACTCATGTTGTTGGATGAAAGGTTTATGCACAAAGCAAAGTTTCCAAGGTTTTCATAAGCTTCCCTTTTCTGCATCTCTTAAAAGAAAAAAAGGAAAAATGCAAAAACAGTATTAAAATTTAGTGTAGATTAAATCACTAAAACCCCTAACTCATTTTTGTTTTGTGTTTTTTATTATTTGTATTGTTTATATTATTTATTTATTGATATTATTTTAATTGGTATTGTTTTTATTTTTTATGCATCAGATACATAACGAGCGAAACAAACGAGCGAAAGCTGCCGCAAAGAAAAGTTTCGGGTTTTATAACGACGTACGGCGTTTGGGGAAGATCGGCGTAGATCCAACGGTCGCGGGTTCGATTCCAGGCTGGCTTCAAATATACAGCACTGCGGTTTTTAAATTAGATGTTTAACAAATGCTTAACTAATCATTATTATCAATTATTCACGGTTAATGTACGTTTTATATGTTTTATACTTAAACAGGTACATCAGTTTTGTCAAAACGAGTCAACAAATAAGAGACCTTAATAAGAGTGAACTGCAATTTAAAAGAATTTATTTGCCAACACACATATTACTTACAGTATATCAAAAAGTGATGTTTTTACCAGTAAAACAATATATAACATGAGAATAAATAAAAGTAACCATAAATATGGTACAATATTACAAGATTTTTCTGAAAAATATTGTTTAGAAGGATACAGTTAGAAAAACACCAGTTTGGCTCCTGATTTCTCGCTGCACTCCAGTCACAGTATAGATTTGTTCCATTCCACCAGCAGCTCATGTCCTCATTTAATGAAATTTAACTAATATTGGATGGTAACTGTAAATAATTTCTCAATATTTAGCTCAGTATTTACAGTTACCACTGATGGAATTGAACAAATCTGTGATGGCTGGACAGCAGCAAGAAGTCAGGAGCCAAACTTGTGTTCTTCTAACAGTATTCCTCTAAACAATATATCTAACTTTACTGACATTCTAAGAACAGAGGTATTTTACAAATCTGTATGAATCAGAATTCTTAATGAAAGTAAGTAAGTAAAGTTTATTTATATAGTTCATGCAGCAGCAGCAGCATCAGTGGGATCAGGTTGTGAGGGTGAGGTTTGCACAGCGAGCAGTGGCACCTGATCACGGCAGAAGAGGCAGCAGCATCAGACGCACAGGATGGACAGCTGTTCAACTCGGCAAAGGAAAGAAAGGAAAACACACACAGAGAGTCAGTTCTGTAATGAGTGACTGACAGAACTGAGAGTCAGTTCTGTAATGGGTGTCAGTTCTGTAATGGGTGTCAGTTCTGTAATGGGTGACTGATCACAGATTACAGTGTTAGCAGAGCAGCAGAGACTCTGGCAGGTATAGAACTTACAGGGAAAACTAATCAAACTAAAACTAATCAAAACTACCAAAGGCTCGACTATACAAGTAAGTTTTTAGCCTAGACTTAAACACTGAGGCTGTGTCTGAGTCCCGAACATTAACAGGAAGACTATTCCAAAGCTGGGGGGCTTTGTATGAGAAAGCTCTCCCCCCTGACGTAACTTTATTAATTCTAGGTACTAATAATGAGCAGCACCTTGTGATCTAAGTTTTCTGCATCCTGTAGAGAGAATGCATTTCTCAATTTAGCAATATTGCGGAGATGCAGGAAGGCTGTTCTAGTAATATTAGTTATATGTGTGTCGAAGGACAGATCAGGGTCTATAATGACACCAAGGCTTTTTACAGATGAGCTTGATGCAACTGAGAAATTGTTAAGTTTAAGTGTAAAATCAGACAGTTTGTTTCTGGCAGCTTTTGGACCAAGAAGCAGAACCTCTGTTTTATCTGAGTTTAGAAGGAGAAAGTTACTCGACATCCAGTCCTTTATGTCTTTTATACAGTCCTCAATCTTGCTAAGTTTAACTTTATCATCCGGTTCACTTGCTAAATATAACTGAGTGTTATCGGCATAGCAGTGGAAGTTTATGCTGTGTTTACTGATAATGGTGCCCAGTGGTAGCATATATAAAGTGAATAATACAGGTCCTAAAACAGAGCCTTGTGGAACACCATACTTTACTTTTGTGAGAACAGATGATTCACCATTTATATTAACAAACTGATAGCGATCAGAGAGGTAGGACCTGAAACAGGAAAGAGCTGTTCCTGTTACTCCTACAAGGTTTTCTTAATGTAACAATGTAATATTTACAATAAATTCTTAATGTAATAAATAAATGAATAAAGAATAAAACAGCCTTGGCAAATGAGAAAATTAGGCTGAGAGAAAATTATAATTTTGTCTGAAAAATACACAATATAAACAAAATACACAATGCAACACTATACAACACAAACCTGTACAACTGAATATACAGTGCTCTATATAAAAACAACTAGTAATTTTGTTAGACTATTTATTCCCTGGATTTTTTTGTCTCAGGTTTCAGGTAACCATTTTATATTACGTTCTGTAAGGTAGCTTTTAGAAGAAAAAACATTTCATACGTCTGGTTCCTATCACCACCACTGTAAACAACAACTCTCTATGATGTACCTTTTACAGGCATTAAATGATTCAGACATTGATACCAATGTGAACAATTCTGAGCAAGTTTCTCTAGAATGGAGCATTTCACACCAAACCATTCTGAGTGGCTTTGAAAGTAAGCCAAGTAATGGTGAGTAATGGAGGCCTTAATGTGGTCGACTCGACTCATTATGTCATTCCCGTAGACTGTAAGAAGCCATTTGTTTGTTGGGAATGCAACAGGCTGTTGGGGCTCCTGGAAAAAGGAAAGAGGCTGGGATGCTCCACAAATGGTTTACACTCCCCAAAACATCTGGCCAGGCGAATCAACCACTCCTCACTATGATTTTCCTTGAGCTGCTTTAAGAGACAATGGGAGCTGTTCCCTAATGTCCTCTCTTTCATCATGCGGATGACCTGTATATCACATGCATACCTGTGACATAAGATCAACCACTATTGCAGAATATCCATTTCTGGTCTTGGATGGTTCTCTTCATCTCCACTGGCAACCAGAAATCATTACAGCCAAAAGAAGACAGGGCAAGAGACTGAGAAGAAGCTGGAGGGACAGTTGGGTCAGCAGGCATGACTGAGGGGGAATTGGTCACAGTGGGTTCCACGCTGGCTCAGTCATCTGATGCACAACCAGTGGTAACAGATTCACTCTGATTCACACAAACACACAAACAAAATACAGATTAAAAATGTATCTAAGCAATAGAACACAAGTGTGTTATCGGGAAATAACATCACAATCTCGAGTGTTCTATTGCTGTTATACAACAGTCAAATAAATACAGTAATAAATTAATAAACTGGGCCGTGAACGCGGCGTTTAATATGTTTTAATGTTCGCAGTTCCTTCACCAAATTATAGTTCCTTAACGAGCAGCTTGTTGCTTCGTCACAGTAATGAACTCCGCTCACTCACTGCTCAGCCGGCAGTTCGTTCTCCAGCTGTTTAAATTGTGTATTTAGTGTAGTCTCATCTTCAGAGTCTGACAAAATTGGCTGTAGTCTGATGTATGTAATCTTCAAAGTATCAATTTTCTGTTTGTGGGCAACGTAACAGTGGGCAAAGCAAAGCAAGAAGTAAAAATGTTCAAATGGCTTGAGCATCTCCTACAACTGTCAAAGTCGTTGCTTAACGGTGTCTCGGCGGAGTGATACAGTGTTTGTGAAAAATCTGTGCTGTAATGGCAAAATATCAGCACAGTTAGAACGCTTCTCAACCGATCAGCTTGTGTGGCCGGAACTAACTCTTGTATAATAAGAGAATGAAACATATATCACATCCTAATTTGAACACTGAAGAAAAACTGGTGGATGTGGCATCAAGAAGGAAGAACTCTTCATCTTCACAGGGGAAGCTGAAGAGGGAAGCATGGAAAAAGGGGATGTGGTTTGGACGTATGTCTTTGCAGGACTGGACAATGGCTGGGGTGTGGCAGAGGTGGTCCTGGCAGTGACGGGGCTGGTGAAACCAGGTGGGCTTTCTGTGGTAGTGATGGTGGAGTGATGCTAGAGAACAAAAATTCTGTGTCATTCAATAACAGCCATCCATAGTAAAAGAGACTGATAGGTCAAATGATATGATATAACAAGCATTTACATCCAATTCATCATACCTGAGCAGGAGGCCTCCTTGCCAAATTAAGGGTTGGCTTTGCAGCAGCAGCATGTTTTCCGCCAAAACGGAGTGCTGTAAACTAGAGGAAGACAAAGAAAAAATTAGAGCAGCTCCTTAGCAAGGGAGGAAAAAGTGCCACACTAGAAACACAAGAAACACTATACTCAAGCAGTATTGTATCAAAATTCTATTCAATTAAACATGGAAGTAAATGTCAAAGAGTACGTATATTTAATCATATAAATTGCCCTGGATGTTTTATTTTACACTGATAGGGATTTGATTGGGTGTTGTAATAAAAACACTGTTAGAGTGCACAGAAATTTGACTGAATGGGAAGAGAAAAATAAAACAAGAGAAAATAACTTTGGAGTCTCTGGCTTTTGTAATGTGTAACAAGTGTTTTGAAGCTCTAAATGAAAACGCATGCAGTAAAAAACGATTTTGAGTAAGGAATATTCTTCAATAATACTTCCAGTACAAATCTTCCAAAGAAGTATAATAGTATGGTATAGTAACAAAATCCAAAGTACCTTAAGCGTTCTCCAGCCCTTTTCCTCACTAAGGGAAAGAAGTGAGTTTAGAATACTACACTCACCATTCCAATGTTTAATGTCTGTCGCAATGGTGCTGGGCAGCTGGGAGTAGAGGGGGTGGAAGAAACACCAGCTTTACTCGATGTGCCTGGTACAGCAACAGGGGTAGCAATTGATGTTGGTTCACTGGTGGGCTGAAGAAATAAACAAAAAAATAAAGCATGCCCAACCACTACAAATTACCTAAATATATAAGTTTGTCCGCCTATCTGCTTGTTATATTTACTCATTCCACACCTTAGCAGAGTGGAACCCACACACACAGCTCTGCAGACCCCCAAAAAGTGACATCTGTCTCTTGAGCAGAGCTGGGCACTTCTCTATCTGCAAGAAATTCAGAAAATGTGTATAGCCTGTAATGCAGCACTAAAATAAACAGTAAATTTCAAAACAGGACAGTACTGTATCTACCAAAAATGTTTATGTGCTGTAATTTAGCAATAAAATAAATTATTAGAAAACGAAAAACTCTGGCTCAAAATCTTATTGGCTAAGAGAAGTTGGGGCTTTGTGAGGCAACATTCAGTACACATACATACTGAACGACCACTTTATTGTGAGTTAGGACCACCACTGTGGGGGTTCTGACCTTTGGAGAACAGGGTGAAAGAGGGCTAATAAAGTATGCAGTGAAACAGATGGACCACAGTCAGTAATTGTAGAAATGCAAAGTGCTCTGATATGATAAGTGGACCAGATGAAATGAACAAAGAGTAAATGAACAAGGAGGCGTAGTTAATGAAGTTGGTGTATAACCGCACGTTAATTCTGTACTGTGTGACAGGCTAAAAGCCATGGCAGAGCTCATGGAATAATTTTAACCTTTATGCAACCATAGCTCACTCTTGCAGAGGAATTCTTTAGAATGTAATCAAATGGTTAAGATGTAAACAAAGTCATTCAGAGGGGTTTTAATGTAAAATGCTCCATTCTAGAGAAATTTACAGTCAGAATTGTAGTGATTGGAACCAGATATCTGAAAATGTCATTCCTCTAGAAGCTCCCTCACAGAAAGCTTACATCAGATGGTTATAAATGCACTGTCTGAGACATTGATTTACAGTAGTTATGACATAAGGTGTTGACCTAAAAAGTAATTTTTATTTTTAATCCATTCATAACGGAGGGCACTGTAAGGCAAAATAGTTCCCAAATAAAACTTTTCTGACTGACCACTGTTTTACCATTATCAACTATACATATGAAAACTCAGAAGACACATGTAGGTTCACTGGTGGTTTTGGATAGTGATGACTATATTTGTGCGTGACCCCTGGTTCCTATTACCACCACTTTAGACTCTTCAACTCTTCCCAGTGGGGCCAGAAGAAGAAGAGAAGAGAGAAGAAGGAAGAGGATAGATAAGGACTGAATCTGAATATCATGCTAAATCATAGGTTTATCTCATACCAAAGCATAGGTGTTATTCTATCCATCTGCACATGTGGACACCTTACTGAACATATTGCACTTTCTGTAACCCCTACCACACATCTTGCACATCTAGACACTCCACACCTAGACACTTTATTTCAGTACTACTATATGCACATATTTATTCAGTATTGTCATTATGTTGTTATTGCACTGCCTTTTTCATCTCAGGTTATAGATTTTGTTGCAGATTTTTGTACATTTCTATTTGTATATATGCCTGTAAATGGGGTTTTTGTATTTATTTTTCTTTTTACATTGTTTCACCCTTATTATTATTACTGTCCTGTGTTGTGTGACTGATACTGGCTGCTAAATTTCCTTGGGGATCAATAAAGTATCTATCTGTATATCTATCTAACTACTGTAAAGAAATCTCTACAATCAACCTTTCCATATTAAACCACTCTGAATGACTTTGTTTGCACCTCAGTCACTAAATTATAGAGATTTTTTTGAAAATCGGTGGAATTCTCCTTCAAAGAACACATTGATTCACAAGAATTGTTCAATGCCTAAATTGTTTAAGTAATAATACTTATGTAATTGGTATTAATTGGCACGAATAAAGCAAAATAAAACCAAATGCTTGCCTTTTGATAGAAGTCATGCCACCTTTTCTGCCTCGGGGCTGGCCTGTTCCCTGCCTCAGAGGGCCAAACGCCTGTATCAGCAAACTTCTTCAGTCTGGCAACCCACTCTTCGTCTCCCATGGCATGATGCTTTTTTTTAGATGGCATCTTCGAAACCAAAGATGCAACGTTAATAATTTGCTTGAAAAAACTGTTATCTGCCATTAATTATGATCGCTACACTTATAAACGCACTCAGATACGCTAGCAAGCACATGATCAGAGACCGTTCGTGGCTAAATACAGTGATCTGTAGTATTATCAAAGATGCAACGTTAATAAAAACATTTCATAGTCACAGGCAGAGTGGAGTTACCTGCCGTTAAATCATTTTATTGTTGCTACGCTTACAAACGCACTCAAACTCTTACGCTAACTAGCAAGAACATATTCAGAGACTGTTCTTGGCTAAATATAGTAATCTGTAATATTACCATAGCTAGCTAAGTTAGTTAGAAGCATAAGCAACACAAACATTTTGAAAAGTAGTTAACATATCTTGTCAAGAGCGAAGACAGCCGAGTTACGCCGTTACTTCGCGGTGACATCCATGTACAGGCAGCTCTTCCAAGCAAAAAAACCCGCTTCGACTTTAACTTGTGACGCCTAGACAGCGGTGCTATGGCAACGACCGCTGGCGCGACGCGACTGGCAAGAAAAGGAGAGGCGTCGGAGATTTTTATTGGTCAGCAACGCACGGCGGCCCGCGGAGAGCATTTCATTGGTTAGAAATGGAACGAGCTTCGAGCGCGGAGCCGTTAGCCGTTTCTATGGCAACGGGGAGAGCTGCGATTTGATTGGCAAGAAATGGAGAGGCGCAGAAGCATTTCATTGGTGAGAAATGGACGGTAAACCGAAGAGAAGGTTTCATTGGTGAGAAATGGAGAGGGCGCTGTGAGCCGATTGGAGAGAAATGGAAGCGAGAATGGAGCAGGAGCGAAATGATTGGTTTTCTTAAAGCAGACGCTTGTGCTGTAGGGAGCGCCATTCCCCTTACAGTCACCGCAGCCGCTACGGTCTCGAGACAGGAGCATACCCCTCTTCGCAGCCATAGAATCTTAATGCACTCCTCTCCGAGGATAATAATATTGGGCATGTGCAGAACACGGCGCTGTCTTCGTAAGGAATGTAAGAGACTGTCTGGACGAGATTTAACACTCGCTGTCCGCGTTAACGTCGTGAGTGAGTTCAGTTCACTTACTGTAAACGGCTGTAACGGTTTTGCTTTGAAAGGGAGAAAAGAGGAGAACAGCGGCAAAACCGAGCGCCCACGAGGCGGAGTCCCGCGCTCTAATTGGTCTGAAAGTCCCGCCAGTCATTTGTTTGTTCTCCCATAGTCCACTGTAGTCGTGTCGTCATTCTGTACAGAACAAAATCAGGAGGTTTATTAACATTAACTTATTTTTGCTGTTTCACAGAAGTGACAGGTCAGGATTTTGTCTCGTTTGCTAATGTTTGTATAGTCACAGCTGCTGCGCCATTTAAGGTGGAACGGGAACATTCAAACAAGAAGCTGCAAAAAAAGAAGCTGAATTCAGCCTCATAGTTTAAACACGGGTAATATTTTAGGAGTTTTAGCCTTTATCAAAATATCCCACCCAGAGGTTTTATTTACAGGTATATCTGTAATTCTGCGCTACTGTAGAAGATTTCAATAAGGTAGTACAGCTCGTCAGAGCAGCGCCACAGCCCGCCTTAGTTTAGTGTAGCTTAGTGACATCAAACTGATGCGCAGTAGCTTTAGCACGTAGCAATATTAGTATTATAGCTCTTTAACGACCTCGTAATTCGGAGGATCCAGTGGTATTTGAGAGAAAAATGTACACAGAACAAAACGTATCGGGTTCTGAACATTTTTATTTAACACAGGGGGCGATAGAGGCAATTTTTCGAAAACCCTATTCATTCTGGCCATAGAGAAATGGAGCTCAGACGACTACAGAATGACTCAGGACTACAGTGGACTACGGATCTTTATTTTTCTGGTTCGCGCCTCTCTGCTGTACTGAATGAATTGTGCTGTTTTGTTTGTTTGTTTGTTTAATCTAGACACACCCAGATAGTGAGTATATATCGGTCCGCTGGTTTGAAAAGGTTGGCACCCCACTGATTGTTCGCCACTGCTGGTCCCCCCTCGGACCACCCAGATTACTGTCCTCTATACAAGCTGTACCTAGATTTTAATCTCCTTAAACAGATTTTCAATGCACAGAGACTTTTATTTTAGAAAATAAAATCATAGACAAATATTACAAACAACTGAGAGAGAAAAATAATGACTAGGCCTGATATAAAATGATTTTATAGAAAATGTTGTTTGTAGTTTTGCCTATTACTCTGCTTAACCATCAGTGGGCTGCCCAGAAAATGCAGAGCAAAATGCCAGTGGACCACCCGCTCTGCCATCAGCAGGCCGACAGAGGTCCACTATCTTCTTGCTATGAGGGCAGAGAAGAAAAGTGCAAACTCTTGAAATACATGAGACAGCTGTACAGGATTATTTTACAAAGCATCACTGAAGAGTCTGTCTTAATATAATAAAGTCAAAGTATAAAGTTGGACATTTAAACAAAAATCTATTATGTAATTTTACATGGTGAAACAATGTAGGTCTATATATCACTACTCAGATACACTTGTTTATTTTTGTTTGTGTTTTCCAAATACCTGGAGATAATAATTTTGAAAGTTATACACAGTATATAAAAAAGTTTGTTCTCTTTCTGTTGGGCCAAATTAAAAGTCCTAATTGTCTAACTTTGGGCAGCCCTGATCTACTTAAGAAAATAAATAGAAGTGTAGATGTTGAAGAGAGGGAACCAAGGGCTTTTTCTGCATTAAGTTTTGGTGGTATGAGATCTCTAAAGTACCCAGGTTAGCTGTTAAGTACATTTACTTCCTATTAGTTCAAAGTTGTTTTATCTTGGTTCCTAGCTTGTTGTCTCTGGTTACAATTGTACATTTGAAAATAGATCAACGTGTTAATCATGGCATGTTTTCTGCAAATGAGCAAAAGGCTGTGGCTGACTGTGATTGTAACATTTACCAATGGAGATAAATGAAAAGTTATTCTACCGTGAACTTCAATGATATAAGGAAACGAGTTTAAACATTTTAAGGTAAGGTAAATGGTTTAAGAATTTATTTTTTTTCTTTTGCTACTGTAAACACATTTCTGCAATAATCAAAAAACAAAACATACAAAAAAAAAAAGATTACGAAAGTACAGCAGGTAAAACCTTAGTGAATGCTTTTTTGGTAACATCACACAAAAACCACAATATTCCAGCAGTCTGGTTATTTAGGACGTGTTTGTTATATTCTTGTTATATTCTACATTATTGTTATTTCACCATAACATCACGGGTTTTTCACAAACACTGTATCACTGCTAAGCAACAACTTTGCCAGCTGTAGGAGACGCTCAAGCCATCTGAACGTTTTTACTTCTTACTTTGCCACAAACAGAAAATGGACACTTTTAAGATCACATTTGACCGACAGCTGATTTGGTCAGACTCTGAAGATGAGACGACACTAAATTCCCAAACTGTCGTCACCACTGAGCAGCTTCTCAGTCGGCAGCTGTGACAGAAGAAAAGCCATAAAACTGCCACGATAAAAAACAAAAAAGCTGCTCAGTGGTGATGACAGTTTGGGAATTTAGTGTGAGGAGCTGGAGAACGAACTGCCGGCTGTGCAGCGAGTGGGCGGAGCTCGTTACTCTGACGTATCAACAAGCTGCTCGTTAAGGAACTATAATTTGGTGAAGGAACTGCGAACATTAAAACATATTAAACGCCGCGTTCACGGCCCAGTTTATTAATTTATTACTGTATTTATTTAACTGTTGTATTAAAGCAATAGAACACTCGAGGAGTGTGTTATCGCCAATAACATCACGGCTGTGATGATCTACGGCGACCAAATCACAGCCGTGATGTTATTTCGCGATTACACTCCCTCTGTGTTCTACTGCTTAAACATCTCTGTGTCTTAAGACAAAGAAAGTGATGTCTTAAGTCATGCCCCATCTTCAAGACACACAAAATATTACCTCTTTGTCTTAAGACTTTAACTTTCATGTCTCAAGACAAAACATTGTCTTCACTCATGCGTCTTAAGACGTTCTTGAGATGTCTTGACATAAGAAAATGTCTCAAGCCATCTTGTCTAATACTGTCAAGACATCATGAGACACAGTGACAGCTGGGTATGCTTCGTGAGGTATTGCCACTGTTTACAGAGCTACCGGGTGTTTCATTGTGCACTCTGGTCTGTTCTTCTCGTGTATTGATCTTTTGCCTATTTGATTCGACTCTGCCTTTCGCTTTCTCCCCTTGGTTTGGTTATGACTGTGTTCTTCTGGTATTGGACTGTGTTGGAACTGACCTTGGCCTGTTTTTTGACCACGACTTTGGAAATCCCTGATTCAAGTAAAGTCTCTTTTGTTTTTACAATTCACACACGTCTGAACCGCTCTGTCCTGTTACAGCCCCGCTGTGTGAATGTTTTACAAATACCTTATAGGACAAAACTTTGCCTCAGTCAAAAATAAAGTTCTTAAAACAGTGTCTCAGGCAACAGGCAATGTATTTGTAACCATTTCATATTATAGCTTTTTGTGTGAGAGCTTTTAGAGACATTACATTGTCTAGATATCTGGTTCCTATCAACACCACTGTGAACAGTTCTGACTCTGGAAGTTTATCTAGAACAGAACGTTTCACACAAAACCACCCTGAATTACTCTGGTTACTCCTAAAAATACAGTATATGAGATTTGGGGATTTGGAGAGTGTCTGGTCTCCCCAAATGTGTAATTGCACTCAACGTCATGTCATGTTGCCTTTATAGAGCTGTAGGAACATTGCGTTTGATGTATTTTTTTTATGAATGAACCTGTGTATCACTCTGTATCTGATGAATAAATATATAATGATGATAAAGTAAGGCAGCAGAAGGAGAGCATACTAGATGATTACACATTGCCTAAACATTTAGTCACTGTAAATTCCTCAAATATTTCAGGCTGCTGTGGGTATTTTAGATAAAAGCTCATAATTTAGCCATGCAATAAAAATCAAATTGAGTATCAGAGCGTTCAAGAAAAAAAAAAAAAGGACTACATTCTACTGTACAGTGTGTGGACCCTGAAATGTAGTGACCAAATCAAAAGTAAGAAGATTAATAATACAGAAGGTTGATGAGTCAATCAAAAAGCAGGAATTATGCAGTGCTGAATTTATTTGATATCAATCACATCCCCTTGCGCGCACACACACACACACATATTTCAATGCTGTAAAGTAATTGGATCTTGGTTTTTAGATTAAATAGAAACTGAAAACACATGATCACAATAACATTCTTCTATCTTTAATATCTGAGCCTCTCAAGGCTGAAGGGTTGATCATTCTATGAGCTTTCTGGCACACGCAAAAGGGAAGGAGCAGTTCAGTTCAGATCAGGCCTTTGAATCACCTAGAACAAGACAAAAAATCCATTAGATCAAATCTGAGTGTTAAACTGACCTGTTTACACCTCACTGGGATTGCAATCAAAAGCTTTCCCCAGCATGCGTTGTGAGCACATTACAATCAGGTCACTCAAAAAATCGGAGGTGGTCAGAGACGGATCTTGACTACATTTTACTCAACACATTTTTTTGATATACATCAGTGGGGACTGTGTGGAAAGAGTACATGAATTCAGGTTCCTGGGCACACATTGCTAAAGACCTCTCCTGGACCACCAACACAACGGCATCAGTTAAAAAGGCACAGCAGCGACTCTCCTTTCTAAGAATCCTCAGAAGAGAAGCTTCTGGTGTCTTAGAACAGCTGCTCCCTCGAAAGTGTGCTTACATATGGCATCTCCTCATATTACACCAGCAGCTCAGCAGCAGACAGTAGAGCCCTTCAGAGAGTCGTCAGCACAGTCCACAAAATCACCAGCTGCTCGCTGCCCCCCTTGGAGGAGGTCTTCAGGACGCGCTGCCGCAGCAGGATAGCTAGCATCCCGAAAGACCCATCTCATCTTGGTCATCATCTGTTTGACATGTTAGCCTCAGGCAGACGCTGCAGGTCCATCACATCACGGACAAACAGACTTAAGAACAGCTTCTGCCCCAGAGAACTGAACACTGCACACTGCCATCCAGGCACCAACAACACAGGAATAGAGTGTCTACCTGCACCTTTCCAAAACATACTCAAGGGATATTAAAGACATTTACATTCATTTGCAGTTTATTTATTATTAAACTGCATCTGTAAATATAAACACTGCCATTTTTTTACCATTTATATCCACCCTTTTTATTTTACTTATTTTACTTTTTTATATATTTTTAAATTAATTTGTAGTTTAATTTTCTATACAAAACAAAAGATGGAGGATATGCAAAACTGAACGTAGTTCTGAACCAAGAGCCTTCCTGCACTCCAGGCAGAGGAAATCAGAGCAATTAAGTGTGAATCAACTAACCGTGTGATTAGACCACGGGCACTTGAACCTGCATGCTGTGTATATAATAGCCTGTAATAAGATTCTGCATTGATTAATATTACAGCCATTGTTAAACACAGGATGAACTGTAATGTTACGAAATGTAAAGAAACCCTCATATACACTGTTGTTGGAGCTGTAAAGAGATTAAACACTTCTGATCAAGGTTTCTAAGAGAACGTAAGAAAATATTTCACTGAGCTTTGCATCCCACAAGCCTGTATACTTGGTACTACAGAGGAATTTCCTTTGGATTCTAAAACACTTCTTATAAATTCTTTCCACTGTTCTGTTTAATGGTCCTTCTATTACACACCAGGCCAACATATTGACAGGTTTTATTCCTAAAGAAGCTCTGTCTAGTGCTTTAAAGGATTTTCCAAGCTGTGGTCACAGAGGTGGTCAGAAACTTGCTGCTGGACTGTTGACTGATCAACATTATTCCACCACTGGGTTATTCTGTCTTATGCTTTAGGATCTGATTACACAGTATAAGGTGTGAAACCTTTGATCTTTGTACCTTCCTCTGCACTAGCTGAGCCTACAGCCAACCCTGCTGCACAGGACTATGTTTCCCAGAACCCCTCGCTGCAGCACATGACACAGGACTCTCAGAAATCCACTTAACCCTGGTCCAATTCGCCAGACTTCTAATTATGCTCACCTTTTCCTCATTTCATATGTTTGTTAGTTTAGTGTATAAGTCTGGGCTTTAGTCTAGTTTCTTCGTGAAGTATCGTCACTCATGCGCATACTGAGCGCTTCCGCTGTCTTGTTTTCTGCTCTGTGTGTGACCTGTTTCCTGTTTATGATTCTAGTGTTGCCCTTTTGTGCTGTTCTGATTCTCTGGTTTTTGACCTTCTGCTTGTGTTTACCGACTGAGTTTGTTTTGCCCCTTTGATATTAACGTTTTGAACTCAAGCCTCTGCTGTGAGCATCTGGTTCCGTCTGCCACAGTTACAGCTAAATATATACTAAACCATCATTTATAGGATACTTTATTTTGGGAGGAGTCTGTCCCAAACCCTTAAATTTACACTTCTGCAAATAATACTTACATTTTTATTTTTGTATTTTTATTTTTTTTTGTTGTTGTTGTTTTTATTTCATTTAAAGTGAAGTTCTCATGAATTTATTTTTTAAATAAAAATGTAAAGCATTATTTTAGCCACTCTCTTGCATGTTAGAGCAGGAAGTGAGGCTACATCCCTGTCCCTCATGGCCACATGGTGAGCAGTTAGATCCCATTGTTTTGAAGTAAATGTGTCCCAAAGTCAGAAAATCAGTGTGGAACATTAAGAATTGCCCAAATAAAGAGGAATATCTGTCCTAATAAACAAAAACATTTCCTTCACACTTAATGCCACCAAATGACACCCTGAGGGACAGTTTATTATAATAAATCTTTACATCTGCATCTATGCCAACATCTATGACCCAAACACTGATGACCTGTCCCTTTTTACACCTCCTTACACCTCCTAGTCATGTCCGATGTTGGGCAGGCGGTGGTTGATGTCTTAAACGCCCAACTTCCAAAGAATTCTGTTTACTCAGCAGTTCACTGCTCATATTCACACACAGACTTCCTCTTAATAAGGAATTCAGTTTTAGCAAACATCTTAAATATATAGCATTACCCTATCTATCACTGACCACACTTCCCGTTTCCGAAAATGTTGGGACACTGCGCAAAATGTAAACAAAAACAGAATGCAATGATGTGCAAATCATGTAAACCCTATGTTTGATAGGAAATAGTACAAAGACAACATGTCAAATATTGTCACTGAGAACCCGTATTGTTTTTTCAAAATGGGCATATATTTTTTGAAAAATATATGCCTATTTTGAATTTGATTCCAAGCATCATGTTTCAAAAAACTTGGGACACTACAGAATCATGTGTGTTTCTAATTAAGTGCTGCCTGAGCCTGAGGGCCCCAAGGTCACAGCCAGCCAATACTGGTTTTCAGCCGTGTCCCTTGCATACAGAGATTTCTCTGGATTCCACCAGGTGGTTTTAAAAACATTACACAACTTTGAGGTCTTTTGTTGACCCTCTTCCATCTTTTTTGAAACATGTTGTTGCCATCAAATTGAAAATAGGCATATATTTTTCAAAAACAATAAAATTTCTAATTTTTAACATTTGATATGTTTGTTTTTATACACGTTTTATTTAAATATAGGGTTTAAATGTTTGACACAAAGATTCTTTTTTTATTTACATTTTGCACAGTGTCCCAACCTTTTGGGAAATAGGGTTGTAAATCATCCACATTAATCAGCCAGCAGGTGACACTTTAAAGTGTTCCTATTAAGAGATACGGAATTTAACAGATACATTGTAAGGGCTCTTGCTGGACATGAATGATTCTCTTAAATCTTCACCAACAGTAGAAAACAGAGAGGCAAAATGATACCCTACACTAAAAGACACAGTAAAGATACAGAAATGAAAAGTAAGGAAATAAAGGATAAGATGGTTCATAACCTCACTGAGCAAACCAGTAACTAATTACATAAATACAATTCACAAAACAAATCCACAAATAAGAAAACCCAATTTTTACACTTTTCATAGAGCTCACCACTGCCAAGAAGATTCTTACGAAATGGAAATTAAGGTAAAACATTACTGGAAAAACTCACGAACCGACTAGTCAAATGTAGAAAATCTCTCTACCTTTATCAAAACATGACTACAGAGCTGAACTCTGGACTCTCACTAGCCTCTTACATCAGCACCTCCTCCACCAGCTGCCATTATAAATAACGTTTATCTGTCTTTCCCATTAATTTCCTCTCACACACCTTCCACAATATTATCATCCTTTATTGCCTTTTTTCTTTCTTTCATCCTTTCTTTGTTTCTTTCTTCTGGTTTCGTCCTTTTTCCTCTCTGATATATTTGTTGTTTTGTGTTAATCAGTATGTGTTTCTCTTTATAGGGATTGATCTTATTATGGATCACCACCAATAAAGTCTCTATGGTCCTCCCGGTGGGGTGGGGTCAGAAAGATAAATCTAATCTGTACACCATAAACAAAACTTACACTCTGTCTCAACACAAATCATATATTGAACAAGTACAACACAGTACATTTGATATACTTCTTACTATCTGACTAATCTGAAGAAAAATCTGTAGAAAATCTTCTGAACTAAAACTGTTTCAGTGGAATGTATGAAGAGCTGAGGACATTAACTATCACTTTAATTCATTTGAGTCATTTCATACAAGCTTGTGTCACTTCACTACACAAACACCATACGCAAAGGTCGGGATCAATATTTATAGATTACAAAATGCACAGTGGCTGACAAAAACCAGACTGTCAGGTACTCTTTTATAATAAAACAACATCAACAGCTTTCTATGACCAGCTACACAACGCAGAAAAAACAAAACTCACCGGTTTTGGCCTTTCGAGCACAGACAAAATGACGGTTATAAGAGCAAACCAGATCATCCCAGGCTCCTGTAAGAATAGTGAAATATAAACTCATAATGACAAAACACAATATTCCAATGATTATAACAGCATAGTGCTGAAAATGTGGCAATTTAAACATAATGCTATAATAAATACAAATGTAAATCATAAATATAATAAGACGACTGTGCCAGAAAGATTTCATAGTGAAATGAGCTTGTAGCTGCCAGCAGAGCATGTGGAAACCTTTGAGAAAATTTAGAGAAGAACTCTTCTCATTACCCTGGAAGTTGGTCTGCAGACAGCGTCCGGAGCCATTCGGCTCACCTGGGGCCCAGTCAGCGTAGTCAAAATGAGAGCCATCAGTCCAGTACCAGCGATCACGAGCCTGAAGAACAACAATCTGAAATGAGGATCCATGTCCCCGAGAAAGGAGCGTGAACGTGAAGAACACTGACTAACTTACAGTCTTACTATTGTAGCCTCCGAGCCACGTAGGAACATCCTGACTAGCGTGAGCGTGAATCAGACGCTTAATGAAATCGTCTTCGCTCTCATCATGCACCGAAGCCAGATGTGCGTTGTTCCGCACGCAGGTTTTCTACAGGGAGAATTGATAGAGAGACACACGTTTAACCAAGATGGACATTTACTTTAATCCAACCTGTTTGGACGTCTACTTTAGAATGTTGGAGTTTCTACTCCAAAACTTGCTATTCAGTATTTCACACTGGACAATGAACTGAATGAGCAACTTTATAACTTTATATTCTTACAACTAAAACATTATACACATTTAAAAACATACAATAATACATAAAATTAACTCAAACTGGTTTAATGATCAAGACTTGTAATGTGGAATGGTCCACATCAAGGATATTTTGCACAAAAACATGGTGGTCTAGCCTGTACACGGTATTGAATAAACATACCTCAGCCTCGTCCCATGTAGTTTTAATGCCAAAGAATTTGAACTCGCGAGATCCATAAGGTTTCCAATCAGTGTCACTGAGAACAGCATGTTTTTTTTCCTCAGCAACTGCATCAAGAACAGGTTGTGTAAGTTTGAAAATCTAAAAAGATGGCAAATTTGGCCAAAAACAGCAAACTGTACAATTTTACAATATCTTTGAGTCTCTGATGTGATGATTGCCACTTGTGCCTATATTACAGTTTGGCACTTGATCTTTTTAGTTTCCTTTAAAGTGAAGTTGAAAAATTTAGATTCATCACACATTTAATGGTTAAATAACTTTATTCAAAAATGCTGTCCCATGTTTTCATGTCACAACGAAAACACTATTCAAAATGGCATACCACCATACTAAATGCTGCATATTATACAACAGGTAGTTCCGGCCACGCAAGCTCATTGGTTGAGAGGCGGTCTAACTGTGCTGTTATTTCACCATAACATCACGTTTTTTTTCACAAACACTGTATCACTCCGCTGAGACGCCGTTGCTAAGCAACGACTTTGACAGCTGTAGGAGACGCTCAAGCCATTTTGAATGTTTTTACTTCTTACTTACAAACAGAAAATGGACACTTTTAAGATCACATTTGACCGACAGCCGATTTGGTCAACTCTGAAGATGAGACGACACTAAATTCCCCAAACGGTCAGTTGGTCTGTGTGGAGCTGGAGAACGAACTGCTGGCTGTGCAGCGAGTGGGCGGAGCTCGTTACTCTGACGTATCAACAAGCTGCTCGTTAAGGAACTATAATTTGGTGAAGGAACTGCGAACATTAAAACATATTAAACGCCGCGTTCACGGCCCAGTTTATTAATTTATTACTGTATTTATTTAACTGTTGTATAAAAGCAATAGAACACTCGAGGAGTGTGTTATCGCCAATAACATCACGGCTGTGATGATCTACGGCGACCAAATCACAGCCGTGATGTTATTTCGCGATTACACACTCCCTCTGTGTTCTACTGCTAAATTGCACCACCATGTACTGATACTGCTCTTCATAGTAGTTTACAACACAATCTGCGTACTACAGAAAAGGAGCCTGAATAGATGACCAACATCAGGCATGGAGCCAATTATACTGATCTCAAAACCCACTATATTTTCTTTAGCCCTCAAATTATTGCTTATTAGCTGTTGCTGGCCACTTGTCAGCTGTTTCAGGTCAGGTCTTTAGCCACACATGCGGATATATAAGGCATGTTGATGAGTTTTAAAATAACAGTAGAGGGTTTTGTTTTCTATCCATCTCCAAAGCCACAAATAAAGCTTTGGATTTGTTGTGTGGTCAAACCTGTGGTCACACTGCATAGTACTTCTTGGGCAGAATCAGTATGCAAGCAATGTGTGTTACATTATTTGAAACAGCCGATAAGTTTTAGCCTGTGGGAGGAGCCCTATTTTAGCCACACCCTGCATTTTAGAGCAGGAGGAAAGACTGCTTCTTGGTCCTTCATGGCCACATGGTGAGCAGGAGACTGGGCTCCTTGTCACATGGGTGAGTCACACTTAATATTTCCGAGAGGATGCTGCTGCTTTAAAGTGCAGTACTAGTTTTGTGCATCTACTTGGTCTGATGTTATATCCTGTCTGAGAAATGCTGACATGAGCGCACATTTCCTGTTTTTTATATCCTAAATTCAAAAATTGGAACTGTACATTTTTATCTAATTAAAATCTTCACCATTCCTCACTTGTACTTAGCAAAGGAGAGAATACTTTTGCTGATGCCCTGCACTAAACTTTACAATATGGCAAATATAAGCCAACCGGGCAGTTTGGGTGTCCCAGTAATTTTGGGGCAAGTTATCACATATGATGCTAGGAAATTTATATGTGCCAGAACTGTCAGAATGATGACGACTCTGAGGTCAGATAACCTAGAACCTACTGGAATAAAAGACAGGTCGCATTCTAGTTTTGTTTAAATGCTTAAAATGTTTTAAATGAAAGATTCTTTGAAATGATTTTCCAGTTGTTGTGGTTGGGACTGTTTTAATGAGGTCTACCAGGTCTGACCCGTGATTAACGATTAATAAATTTCAGTAATTAATCCGTCTTTTTTTCTGAAGTGGCAATTAATTTTAAATTTAAAGTATCCAAGAATAACAAAAAAACAACTGATTGTATTTATGTGTTGCAAAATCTGGTGTGACTTCTTACCCCACATGGTGTGACAACTTACCAACTGATGGGGCAATTTCTCATGAGGACCCACTCACTATTTAAATACTTATAACCCCGTACTGAAAATGTAGTGAATACAAAATACATGACTGAGACTTTGTGTGTTCATTTAGTTTGCAGAGTGTAACATTATAATCTACTGATCCTATGATATCATTATAACTGCTATGCTGTTATAATAAAATCAGTGTGTAACATTAAGAATTGTCACGTTTTCTGCAATTTTTTAGTGTTTTGATAAAAGAGGATTTTCTGTGTGAACAGCTGTTCAAAGCTGTGTTTGCTGGTCATGGACTGCTGAGTTTCTGAGCTCAAAATGAGCTAAAATTGTCACTGAAACAGTCACTACTGAAACAGACACTACTGAAACATTTGTTACAGTTTGGTAGAGTTATGATTGTTTTGGTAGAGATGAAATGAAATGATCAATCAGTAGTTTTCGTATAATAACCGCAATTAAGGTTTAGAGTCACTCAGACAAAAGGATTTCAGTCTAAAGTCCAAAATCAGTTTGTGTTTTAAATTCTGACTTTGAACCAGTTCAGTAGAATCATCCACTTGTGCTCAGTTTAAAAAGGGGACTAAGATACAAAAACGCACTGTTCCAGCATTATTTCATGATAAAAAAAAGCTGAATTACCACTTTATCCTCACAATCATCTTTTGATCTAAAATATAATTTTCAACGCAGATCAGTCTCCTAATCTGAGTGCTGGAGTTGACAGTTTCTCATTCCTATGAGCTTTCAGAATCACAAACTATTTTACACACTGTTTTTCATTAGTAAATATGTGATTGTAATATGAGTTAAATGGTTACGTTTTCTCACCTGCTTGGTGAACAGCGAGGAGACACATGACCCAAAGGAGCAAGGAGTACCGGATCGCCATGCCGACAGAGACTGCATAGAAATTTCAGTCAAAATAGATCAGTGATAGATTTTTAACATATCAGAGATTCTACATGCACAGTGTAAACATACAGAACAGTTTAACCCTTTGAGTCTTTTGCCAGAGTAAATGTCGCTGTTTGATGTTGATATCAGATCATTTCAAAAATACAGTAGAGATTAGAAGGAAGGTTTGAAACACTACCTTTGAATCTCGAGCCAATCTTCTGCGAAATTTCAATCAAGCCCAGCACTCTTTCAAAACGAAAGCTTCTGAGTGAAGAAATTGATGGAAATTGTGCCGGTTCGTTACTTTTATAGTTTGTCGGAGGTGTTGTGTAACCAAAAGTCACAAGGTGTTCTAGATAATTGGGCAGACGAGGATGATGGATATCATTGTGTAATAACGCGTGTCGAATTGCACTTTTTCTCACCACATTCCACAGCACCAGCTCTCTCTGCGCGCCACTGGTGGGCACTACTGTGTTGTTATGGAAATGGAGGCACAGTATTGAACATATCTAGACAGTAAACAATCTGATATGCTGTTTGCTGTTACACAGAAGCTTTTAATGAGACTAAAATACAGATGTACACTTGTTATTTACTTTATTGGTCCTACTAGGGAAATTTGTCATTTTACTGCCTAACCAATCTGGGAGCAGCACAGCATCAACAGCAGAACAGCACCAGCTGGGGCAGTGGAGGGTCAAGTGCCTCACCTAAGGGCACAACCAGGTTTACAGAGTCAGTTGTGGGATTTGAACTCACAACCTTCCAGTTGATGTTAAATTGGAACCTGGAAAAGAAGAGACCAGCGAGCTTGTCGAGCATTCAGCCTTTTAGCGTTACGAAGATACTCTAGGTTTCTATGATCGGTTAGTATGACAAAAGGATGATTAACTCCCTCTAACCAGTGTCTCCATTCTTTTGTGAGAATAGAATGCTACAGGATAAAGTTTAGGGGGTAGATTCTAAATTTGGGAAGGACAGGATTATCTATCAAGTCTATGGCACAATCATAGGGGCGATGAGGTGGCAATTGAGTGGCATTATTTTTACTGAACACATCCTTGAGGTCTGCATATTCGGGAGGAATGTCAGTGAAAGTTTCGGCATCAGGGCTTTCAAAGGAAGTAGATCTAACAGTTACTATAGGGGTGCTAATACAGGTTTGGTGACAGTATTCGGACCATTTTAGTATTTCATGTTCTGATCAAGAGATATTGGGGTTGTGTTTTTCTAGCCAGGGTAGACCCAATATGAGTTCAAATTCAGAGGATTCCAAAACCAGAAAGAAAAGGAAAGGAAAGGAAAGAAGTTCCTTGTGTATGGCGCTAGTTTCTAGTTGTACTGGTTCGGTCATGGATGAAATGGTTCCGATTCCAACCGGGGCTTCATCCAAAGCTGCCACACATAATGGAACTCTCAGGGTCTCCACCGGAATCTGTAGTTGGTCCATCAGGTGAGCATGGATGAAACTCCGCTCTGCACCGGAATCTATAAGGGCTGAGACAACAAGAGAGACCCAATGACAGCAAATAACCACTGGTAATAAGAATGATTTTGAAACCAACCCTTTTGTGGGAACACTCACCACGTTAACGTGGAGTTTTGTCCAGGGGTCGGCGCTGATTTTTTGGGTGGTCTGGTCCTACGGTTCTGAATGAGATGACCGGCACAACCGCAGTACAAACATAGGCCCTCTCTTAATCATCGGAGTCTTTCGTCCAGAGACAGACGTGATGAATCACACTGCGTGGGTTCCTCTACTCCTTGGTGTACAGCAGGAACCAGTGGTGAATGACTACGAGAAGTAGTTTTCTTCAAATGGTCAGTTTTAGGTTTTCCTTGTTTATTAATAAGATGATCGAGACGGATAGACAGAGTTACTAGTTGGTCTAGGGTCAGGTTATTGTCTCGACAAGCCAGTTCAGTGACAATTTCAGGATTAAGCCCTTGGCGGTACGTCACCAGTAGCGCTGCCTCATTCCAACCACTGCTGGCTGCCAATGTGCGGAATTCGAGAGCATAGTCCGATACAGACCGATTGCCTTGACGTAACTTGATTAAAAGTTCACCACTGATTTTACCTTCATACGGGTGATCAAAAACTGTACGAAATTTCTTTAAAAACTGGTCATATGAAAGAGCGTGGATCTGATGCCAGCTGGCAGTGGTCCATTCTAAAGCCCTCTCCGATAAACGGGAAACCAGAAACGAGATTTTGGCTTGATCGGAACAAGCAGGGGAATTAGCAAAGAAAATGTCGCATTGTAATAGAAAGCCACGACACTTATCTGGATTGCCATCAAACTTGTCTGGCTTGCTTACAGGAAACAGGGAACCAGTAGCTTGCAGGGGAGGAGATGAAGCAGCGGAACTTACTTCAGTGGTGCTACGAGTCTGGAGTTGGCTGGTCAATTCCTTTACACGAGCTGAACCAGTTGAGCCTGTTGTTCTGACTGTTGTTGAGCCAGAGACTCAAGTGAATGAGTCACACCTGCCAGAACCTGCTGATGACGACAAAGTAGGTGACCCTGTTCAGCAAACGCTTTCTGAAAAGCCTCCAGATCCGCTGTCTGCATTATAGGTGAGGTATTCTGTAATGTGCCAGAATGATTCAGACGCTCACGGATGAAAAAAGAGAAAAAGGCTTTACTAGTAAAATCGTGATCCAAAATCATAGTCGAAAAACAGGCATAGGTCAAATCCAAAAAAGACAGAAAATACAAGCAAACAAACATTACCAGGCAAACAGAGTCCAAAGGGCAAAGTCCAAAACACAGAAAGGTAGTCAGCATCCAGAAAAACAATAACCAAAGTGAACACTCAGTAGCTCTCAAAAGATGCAATACCTCACAATGATTTAAACTAAAAGCCCAGGCTATATACTACTCTAACTAGGCAAACAAAGACAAGAACAGGTGCAACAGATTAGTATTCAGGGGAAGCTGAACGGTGATTGGTGCAGGATGGAAGGTCATGAGTCACATGATCTCCCAGAGGATTCTGGGAGATGGAGTCCATTGAGGTGTCAGGGCTGGAGGGAGTCATGACACCTACCATGTTTGTTTCATCAGAGGACTTTGTTATGAGGACTAACCTCCAATCTCCGTGGATCCTCAATCTCCATATAGCCTCTAATCTCCATGGAACCTCTAATCTCCATGGATCTACTGCCCTTCATCACTTTTCTCATAAACAACTCCTTGTCATCAGGTGAAGCTCCATTAACTTTCAAGACTGCAAGAGTGGTTCCCATCCTGAAGAAGCCCATGCTTGACAGCTCTGATGTCAACAACTACAGACCGGTATCACTCCTTTCTTTACTTTCAAAAATTCTTGACCCTGCAGTCTGTAATCAGCTGTCTCTCTTTCTCACACAGAACCAGCTCCAGGATCCCAACCAGTCTGGCTTCAAACCAGCGCACTCAACAGAAACTGCCCTTATAGCAGTGACTGAGAAGCTCCAGTCAGCCAGATCAGCCAAACTGTCATCTGTCCTGATTCTTCTTGACCTCTCAGCAGTTTTTGACATGGTCAACCATACAGTCCTTCTGGACGTCCTCACCAACCTTGGAATCACTGGCTCTGCATCAAAGTCCTATCTGGATGGTCGCTCTTATCAGGTAACATGGAGAGGGTCCACATCCTCTCCATGCAGGCTCTCCACTGGTGTCCCACAAGGCTCGGTGCTGGGTCCTCTTCTCTTTTCTCTTTACACTCGTTCTCTTGGTGATGTAATATTCTCTCATGGCTTCTCTTATCACTGCTATGCTGATGACACTCAACTAATGCTTTCTTTCTCACCTTCTGATACCCAGGATTCCAGTCGTATCTCAGTATGTCTGACTGATGTCTCTTCATTGATGGCAGCTCACAAAGCTCAATCCTAGCAAGACTGAGCTGCTATTCATCCCTGCAACTGCAGGTCCTCATCACGATCTTGCCATCTCATTTGAGAACTCTCTGATTGTTTCATCATTAGAGGCAAGAAGTCTTGGTGAGATTCTGGATGGTCAGTTATCGTTCTCAGCTCATATCATGAACCTGACTCGGTCATGTACAACATCCGGAGGATCCCACCCTTCCTCACTCGAGAGGCCACCCAGGTGCTAATGCAGTCTCTTGTCACCTCAAGGCTTGACTCCTGCAACTCGCTCTTGGCTGATCTTCCTATGTGGCCATCAAGCCCCTGCAACTCATCCAGAATGCAGCAGCTCGGCTCGTCTTCAGTCTCCCTAAGTTCAGCCATGTCACTCCACTGCTGCGCTCCGTTCACTGGCTTCCTATAGCTGCATCAGATTTAAAGCCCTGATGCCTACATAGCCAAAAATGGACCAGCCCCTCCCACACTGATGGCAAAGGTAAAAACTCCAACTGTACCTCGAGCTCTTCAAGCTTCGAATACAGCTCGGCTTGACCCGCCATCCTTCAAGACACATGGAAGACAACCATCAAGACTTTTCTCTGTCCTGGAGTCCAGGTGATGGAACAAACTCCCACTGGCTGACCGAACAGCAGAGTCTCTCGTGGTCTTCAAACACAGACTGAAGACCGTCTCTTTGTATAGCACTTAAGTGAGCACTGAGTTATGTAACTGATTGAAATGTACTGTACTGCACTTATTGAAATGTATTGTATTGCTCTGTGTTTAACTCTGTCTCTTTTCTCTGGGTATCAACATGGGCTTTTGTTTTTAGCAGTATCTGAGCTCAGGACTGTCTTTCTCTCTAACCTATTTGTGACTAGCAAAGATACTTTCTCTGGATAGACAAGGCAATTTTTGTAAGTCGCTCTGGATAAGAAGGTCTGCTAAATGCTGTAAATGTAAATGTAACCAAGAATGACCAAACAGCCATAATGAGCAGCAGATTAGGACAAGGAAACACAGAAAGAGAGCTGGGGTTTTGGTTCCCCTGAGGCTGCCCAAACACCGGTTCGCTTCCCTTACACAGACAGGTGGTGAATTGTGTTTTTATTTTAATGGGTGGTGCACCGACACAAAAGAGCTTTCATGTATATGTTCTGCTGAATTAGAAGCCCATACCATAAAGTGTAGGTCTCTTTATTTACCGAGAGATTTTTCGTTAGTCATTTTGCCTGTATTTCATCACAAGCCAGTGCCCTCCTTGCAACCCAGCATCTGGCCACACACATAATGCAAATGGAGAATTCTAATCCTTTTACACATCTGTTTTTATTTTTGGAGAATTTAATCATATTAGTCTCAATTGAATCACCACCAAGATATAAGAAGCAGATTCATACAGTGGGTGAAATAAGTATTGAACACGTCGCCAATTTTCTAAGTAAAT